ACACTTATCTGTTGTTTTTCACTAGCACTGCTAATTTTAAGCTACATTTAGTGTTATTTAAATATTACTGCTGTCAAGTGATAGGACTGTAATTCAAAAAAATATTTCAAGCAGCAAAAGGATTTAAGACAGAGGACATGTTGTGTGTCGCCAAAGAAATCAGTGTGACGTTACCTCAAAAGGTCACAAAAGCAGAACTGAAAGAAATTATTTTGCAGAGTAAAGCGTATGTGAAAGATTCACAGTTTGTTACAGTTTTTTTTTTTTTTTTTAATTGTCAGTGAAAAAAAAAAAAAAAAAAGAAGAGGAGAGATGAAAACAAATAGAATATGAAAAACAAGTAAAGCTAAGACAAATAGAATACGAAGAATGGGAAAAGATAAGATAACAGAAACTGCAATTGGTGTCAATTCATGCAACATCACTAACAGCAGGTGAGTCTCCAAACTCTGTTACTTTCACCAAATTTAAAAAGAAATTTAATCTACCGAAATTAGAGTTCAGTGGTGATGTTAAGGATTGGCTACAGTTTTGGAGTCAATTCCAACATATTTATAATGATGAAGACATTACACCTGAAATTAAATTTTAGTACGTTGATCAAGCTATACTGTAAGTGAATCCAGAGTACTAAAAGTTGTAGAAAGCTTTACGCCAACAGAAGCCAACTATACAAAAGCACTCAATAGTCTAAAGAGTTGTTAAAAATGATAATTTTTGTTAAAAAACATGAGAAAATCTCGCTGACATCTCTGTGTGATAAACTTGTATCTTAGAGCATCAGAAACACTAAGAGTGACTACTGATAAATGTGCTGTTGATGCTGAAATGCTACTGATAAATGTTAATCTTATTTTCAAGAAGAGTTCCTGAAAGCATGGGGCGTAAATGCTTCTTCCACAACCTCAACTGATGTTAAAGAATGGTTGACTAATTTGATGTCTTTCCTTAAAGCCAAAACTGAAGGGAAGGAAAGAATAAATTTAGCCATGGCTGCTTTTGTTTCGTGTTTAAGTAAAAGTTGCCAATCTTTTAAGAAGAAATGAGGGCATTTCACAACAGGAAGAGTGCATGCAGCTGCCAGTTTACTCACTACAGCTTCAAGGGATGTGAAGAAAGCCTGTGTTTTTTGTTCCGGGAAGCACTCAAAGCTCAGATTGTTTTTCTGCTCAAAAGATGAGTTTAGCTGAAAAGCAGAGTATTTTAAGATATGAACAGTGTTACTTCACATGCCTGACAGCTGGACATCCAGTTCACAATATACGGACAAGTTCGTAATAAAGAGTGTTCCAAAATAAAAGCAAGATTTGAATTTGGTGCCAGTTTTGCATCAAGTTGTGAGCAACCCTGAAAGAAGAACAGTTTGAAAGCCGAGAGTTTAGGGTTAGTGAAAGTGGAGCGTTATACGATACAACAATGTGTCTTTATTATTGAACAATATTTTTATAATACTGAAAGCTTGGCAGCTGCAGTTCGAAAATTTTATACAAAATATAGTAAAAATAGTGTTTTAACCTCGTCAATTTTGAAGAGATTAATTGAAAAATTCGTGGAGACTGGATCAGTTGGTGATCCTAAACACACTGGTCGTCCAAAAACAAGCCGTTCAAATGTCAATATTGAAGCAGTGCGTGAGAGTGTTGGTGAAAACCCAGGAACATCGATTCAGCGTCGTGGACAAGAATTGCAAATTCCAAGAAGCTCTCTACAGCGTATACTCATAAATGATCTGTGTCTTCATGCTTACAAAATTCGATTAGTGCAATAACTGAAGCATCAAAAAGTGGATGCTGGTTTTTCGAGCGAAATGATCCTAAGCGATGAAGCACATTTTCACCTCGATGGCTTTGTTAATCCCCAAACCCACGTGTGATTAGCGAAAAACAAATGCACCCACAACGTGTCACTTTTCGGTGCAGATTTTGGGCATGCAGAATCATCGGACCATACTTTTTTGAGAATGAGGCTGGTCAAGCAGCAACTGTTAATGGTGCTCAATATCGCGACATGATAACACTGTTCTGCTGAAATTGGATGATATTGATGTGGCCAATATGTGGTTTCAACAAGACTGTGCCACATGCTATACAGCCCATGAAACAATTCAGTTACTGCATGAGACATTTCCTTATCATGTAATCTCTTGTTTCTGTGATCAGAATTGGCCCCCTAGATCATGTGATTTAACACTATTAGATTTCTTCTTATGGGGGCTATTTGAAGTCAAAGGTCTATGTCAACAATTACACAACCACACGTGCGTTACAAGAGGAAATTAAACGCTGCATCAATGAAATTCAGCCACAATTATGCAGAAAGGTCATGAAAAATTTTGACAAAAGGGTGCGTATGTGCTAGCAAAGCCATGGAGGCCATTTGCCCAATGTGTTATTCGATAAATAACCCTATCCAATGCACTTTATGATTCACTTAAAAATAAATAGTTATAGTCTAAAAACTCTCTTTTATATTGAATTCAAATATTGTGTTAATTTTGGGACACCCTTTATAAGTGTTTCTGAAATGTATAGTATGTGGTGGTAAAAAATATGCACTACTGTGAAACTGTAGATGCTCAGAATGGGGAATACAGTAAGAGTGATGGAAAATCTACAAGTTCTGAAATCAACCTGTCTAACATCACTTATGGCCCAAAAGTGTTCCTTCAAACCATGAAAATAAAGCTAGTATCATATTGTTAAGGATGCCGTATATTCAGAGTCCTAAAAAACATATTTTAAAAAATGTGATGGGAAAAATAGGGTATAATATAGTGAGAAAAGTCTTATACACTCTTTATTTGGAGGGCCTAATTCTGAAAAGTATAAGCGTGCACGATATAAAATCGGTATTTATTTATCTTTAAGATACTAAAAATACTGTGCTGCTGAAACCACCAACTCTAGTGATTAAGAAATTTGCAACAAGGGATTAGATAGGATCTTTTAACTTGATAGAACCAAAGCTAAAAAAATTAGAATTGATAGTTCTTGAACACCAAGTGGTTTGAGAATGTTTGTGGTGATATTCTCTCTAATATATTTAGCTACAAGGCCATGTATGATAATAAAAAGCATATGACCACATTGTCTACTCTAGACATGTTTCTGACATTCAGTTCAGAACTATGTCAAGATCATAATCCAAACTACCCTACTGCCCTTTGTCTTCAACGTCAAGAAGAATATTTGTATTTTCTCTTCACAACTATTTTCTTTTTTCAACGTAAAGCCAGATTACATGTCGCAAGACATTTTTTTATTTGAAAATGGTCATTTCAATTTGTTTTTACAGTTTGTACCTGGATATCTACTGTTGCATAAAGTTACATTTATAAAGAAATGCTGTGTAAGTAATGCATATACATGCATATAAAAATAGTAAATATTGCAGTTCCATACAAAGCTACACTTAAACAGTTTACAAATTTGACTTGTGTAAAATTCAAGCAGCATAAAGATTTACTGAGTACATTACTTACATATTGGGTTGTTCGGAAAGTAATTTTGTTTTTTTCCAATGGACAACTTAAGTTTACTTTTCACAGAAACTTTACATTTAAACCGCATAATCATTATAAATTTTTTCAGCTAATATAGCAAGACTTGCTTGCAAAAATGTATGATTGATTCTGTGCAGTAGTACTAGTAGGTGCTCCTTCAAATATGGAAAGTGGAAAGCAGCATTTTTGGCATATTTTGCTTTTTACTATTGAAAAGGTAAAAATGCTGTTCCAACTTGGAAAAAAATTCCCCGATGGTGTGTGGAGAAAATGTCTTGACAGAATGTGAGTGCCAAAACTGGTTTGCAAAATTTCTATTCGCCAGTTTTGACCTTGAAGATGCACTGCATTCTAGATGGCTAGGTAAAGCTGATGAAGATACCATAAAAGCGTTAATTGATGAAAACTGACGAATAACAGCTCGCGAGATCACTAAAAGATTAAATTTATCGAATTCAACCATTCATGATCATTTGAAATGCCTATGTTTAGTCTCAAAGCTTGATATATTGGTTCCTCATATTCTCTTATGGAAAGAAATTTGTGCCGTTGTATTGACATTCGTGATTTGCTTCTCAAACATCAAGAAAATAATACATTTTTGAAGCATGTCATAACTGGGGATGAGAAATGGGTTGTCTACAACTATGTTTAAATGCAAGAGATGATTGGAGCAAAAAAGATAAACCGCCTCGAAGCACTTCAAAAGCCGATATTCATTAAAAAAAAAGTGATGCTATTTGTTTGGTGGGATTTCAAAAGAATCATTTTTTTTTTTAACTTCTACTGGACAACACAATGATCAATTTTGAAGTGTACTGTCATCAGATGAACAAATTGAATGATTCCTTTAAACAGAAAAGGCCAGAATTGAGCAATAGAAAAGGTGTAGTGTTTCACCAAGATAATGCTAAACCTCATACAAGTTTTGTAATTTGCCAAAAGCTTTTACAGCTTGAATGAGATATACTGCCATATCCAGCATATTGTCCAGATATGGCCCCCTCTGATCATTATTTGTTCTGGTATCTACAAAAGTTTTTAGACAGTAAAACCTTTACTTCAAATGAGATCAAAATTCACCTGGATCATTTTTTTCCATCAAAGAAAAAATTTTTATACGCGTGGAATCATGCTGTTGCCAGAAAGATGCCAAAAGGTATTGGACCAGAATGGACAATATATAATTCAATAAAATATTTATTCACTATATAAAATCTTTTGTTTTCATGGAAGAAACTAAATTACTTTCCAAACAACCGAATAGCTCAGAGGTTTACTGTAAATGAATTAACCTGAGTACCAATTTCTAAATAAAATTTAAATCTCATTACTCAATTGAAAAGTTGCTTATTTGCACAGTTTTTTCCCCCTCTGCTACTTGGATGCAAGAATTTCTTGAATTTTAAAATTTTGAAATTTTTTTACTAATGTTTCTTTTCAAATATTATGATGAAAGAGTGTTTTGTTTGTACTTATCAATTAACTTTTCCCGCAGCTGGGTCTTTGAAAGAATTTGGCCGTCTTCTTTGTGTTATTGAAGATGAACGTGATAGAATGGTAAGATTATTTTTCTACTACAAAAATTTTTTATCCATAAAACAATTTACAAAACATTAAATAATTGTAAATTTTAATTCTTTTAAGTTTATGGGTATATAAAATTGTCTTTATAATGTTTCTTATATTTCTATAGTTAACATAGTTTTTAATATGTATTCTTTAACTCTTAATATTTACATAAATTGACTAAATTTGCCATATTTCCCCAGAATTTTGTGTAGATATATTTTCTCTTTATATTTTGTTGCGTATCAGGTTTGCATTTTTTTTTTTTTTTTTTTCTTCTCTTTAGTTGGATCGAGCTCAGGCAACACTTATCGAGCCAATTGAAAATTTCAGGAAAGAAAATATAGGATCTGCAAAGGTATATTTTTTAATAAAGTACTTACAGTTTGTACTTATATTTAGCAGTATAGGAATGATGCTTTTAAAAGTATCAAATATTTTTTCTTTCATGAAGTAGATACTGAGTACAAGTCATGCTGACAGTTTGCTGTGAATGTGCTTTAGAATTCCAAAAATTCGCACACCTTGAGCTCAAGGGCTTTGCACACCAAAGAATTTTATGAAATATATGTCATATTTTTTGCACTTCATTTATATTTTTCCATAGTTTTTTGCATTTAATTTACATGGCACAAAAATAACTAACCAAGAAATTGTTTGCACAGAAATAACTAACCAAAACAGGCTTATGCCTTTATGACTAATTCAATTGTATGCATGCATAGAAAAAATACCCATGCAAGGGATAAATAATGGAAACATTTTCTGAGGAAATCAGAGCTTTTGTAAAAACAGTACCTGTTTGATATACTGATATCAACCAAAACACTATGGCCACATCTACAACATGAGAGTGTATTTGCTGATATGATGTTAGTGATACGTGACGAGATAGAAGTGTTATTTCATGGCTGTGAGAGGCGGTAAAGGGTCATTTTATCAATTATGAGACATGTTTTCAAAGTAATTTTGGTACTCCTTTTGGTAATTTTGGTTACTTACTTTTGCTGTCTAGCCACAGGTGCCATTACAGAAATATTAAACTGGTTGTACGATATGAGAAGTGTCTTAATATTGGCAGAAATTATGCAGAAAAATAGATTGAGATGCAGGTTTTCATATAAAAATAAAATTTGTAAGAAAATTCCATTTTCTTTTTCATTTCCAAATGGTATTTATTTTTAAAAAAAAAAGCCTCGCAAATGCGCATACATATGAAAATCTGCTGTTAAGTGATAAAGGCTAGATTAAAACAGCCTGGAGGTTAGGAACAAGCATCTTCAGCACTTCTCATCAGGGAATCATAAATAGCTGCTGGTACACATCATAGCATTGGATGTCTGGGTCTAGTCAAGAAAGATAATATCAAAGACTGTCCCATTTCATGAAGGCAAACAAACAGTGGTTAATGTCTCAATTGACAGATGAAAATGATAAAAGTATATTTTGAATGCACAGTTAGTAAATATGTTTGTTAGACTTTATTGGATGTGGGGCACCTCTCTCTTGTGGCTGTGTTAACCCAATATTAACATTTGCAACCACAGTGTTCTGTGCCCTTGAACTTTGTGGTGGACTGTGCAGCAATGAAAAAGAATTAGCTGCTTGTGCTCTGGTGAATGAATTACAATATCTTTTACATCACTTAGAATGGCTTGAAGGAATGCTATCTTCCAGGTGACCAATTAACTAACGTGTATGCTGTCACTCATTAAGCAGGCTGGTGGTGGAGCTATTATACTTTAGGGAATTGTCTCCTGTATGTCCTTGAGACTGATGGTTATTGTAGAATACACTGTGGCTGTTGTGCAGTATGTAAACACAATGCTGACTAGTTAGACTTTTTCTTCTAGCTTTCCCACGGAAATGGATTCTTCCAGCAAGGTAATTCTTGTCATGAGGCTAGAATTGTACTATAGTTATTTCAAGAACATTCTGGTGAATTCCAAATGATAGCCTGGCTATCTAACACACAGATATTAATCCTGTTGACCACATCTGAGATGCTATGGAACACCAGCTCAGAGGTGACCAACCACCACCTCGTAATATATGGAAATTTTACACCTGTGATCATCATCCGCACTCTTGAGGAAGCCTTGCCATGATGATCTGCAGCTGTTTAGCTTGCCAAAAGTAGAGCAATACAATATTAGGAGGGTAATCATATTGTTTTGTCTTATCAATGTAAAGGTATATGAGATAGTACCTGGAAATGCATTGTGAAAGATATCACCTGGCAATAATTCTTGCAACATTTGTAACCCTACAATTGGCATAATCAAACTCATTACCCCAAGTGGGCCAAATCGTCAGTATACAGATATTGCAGGCAATGGAAGAAGAGCCTTTTCATGTTTAATGATATATTTAGAAAGTGAGTAAATACATAAAATCTTATCTAATACTGAAATTCTTTAAAAAATAGGAAATCTTGTTAGTAGGTTAAGAATACCTGTTTTCTCTCCTGGCATTTTTTTCTTGCAGCTAGCTTTGACTGTCTGCAGACATACAGGTTGTGATTTTAAGCAAAGAGGTTATATGGATTTCTCTTTTTTTTACAAAACATTTAAATACCCACATCAAACAGTGACTTTTGGTGAATGCGGTAGGATTTTCTGAACTACATAGAATTGTTTGGATGCCCAAATTTGAGAACTGTGAGTGTGCAAAGTCCCATTTAGGGTAAAATGTGTCTGATTACCCTCTCCCCAGTCACGCATTGTCGACCTCCATCGTGGCAAGAAATGTCAGAGCAAATTCCACCCATTTATCATAACTGTTAATTTCTGCATGTGGCTTTTGTATGAGTAGAAGTAAAGAACTTTCTGAAAGATCCACCTTAGTGCATTGAAAGATTCGTATCCAATTGCTTCACTATTCCCCAAGCACTGTTACTACCAGCAATGGTCCCATCAGTGATTGCAGCCACAACATCAGTAAAATGTCTATTTTGTTTGAAATTGAATTACATAATTTAAAATTTTAATTTACGTTATATAAATGCGATAATTATGCTGTATTTGTTAAATTCATATACAGGGTGTACTGTAAATTTTACGATAATTTTCTGGGGGAGGTAGGTCACATCATAAGGATTAAGAATTGCATAGGAACCTATACCCGGAAGTGTCAGGGGTAAGTGGTAGCAGAGGTACAAGATGGGAAAGAAAACAAGAAAGTGATTAGTTTTAAACATTTATTGGACATGAATACAAATGGTGTTTCGACAGCTTGAATGTTACAACAGATGCTCGAAGTTTGCACCATCAGACGCCAAACATGCCTGACATTGACGGACCATTGATTGCTGAACATGTTCAAACACACCTGGAGTTCTTTGATTGTAGCAGCTGTGCAGGCGAGTCTTGCCACAACATCAATTTCAGACACAATGGGATAGTGATACATGACACTTTTGATGGCTACCCACAAAAAGAAATCAAGGCTCGATAAATTCCAATGAGCATGGTGGACCGGGGAATCCATCGATGCTGGAATGACCTGTTCATATAGCTACGAATATCCAGTCCAAAATGAGCAATTGCCCTATCATGGTGGAACCACATATTGCACCTCGCATTTGGTGGAACATCGTCAAGCAAGCCAGGAAGAATTTACTCCAGAAAGATCAGATAATTCACGGCATTCAACCTGGAAGGTAAAAGGTATTGCCCAATTAAGCAGTCACCAACAAAACCCACCCACACATTGACTTTGAAGCGTTATTGTGCATCGTGGTGCCGCACACCGTGGGAGTTTTCTTGAGTCCAACACAAATGCTGATTGTGGTGATTGAACACGCCATCCCTATTGAACGTAGCCTCATCCATGAATAGCACATAAGCTGGGAAATTAACATCACAGGCACTTTCTTGCAGAAAACCACTGTGCAAAATGCACACGTTCAGGCTAGTCATCGGGGAGCAGTAACTGAACCCTTCAGAGACGAAAGGCGAGGAATGCCTCGCCGTGCAAGACACGCTGGACACTGGTATGAGACATTCTTAACCAGTTAACTGTGATTGATGAGTATACTTGTCATGGAGAAGCAGCACGGTTTCGTGCATTGACGAGTATACTCATCATGCATAAAATGAAATAGAAAGATAAGAGGGAGGTTTATTTAGTAAGTACCATACATAATGACAAGATAATAGAAACAGAGAAAAGAAAAATAATATCAACAAAACCGGAGCTAATGACTGATTGTAATAAAAAAATGGGTGGATTGGATATGAGCGATGGAATTATCATAGCATACTCCGCAGCAAGAAAACAACTCAAAAAGTACTACAAAAAGATATTTCTCCATTTCTTAGACATTATGTGTCTGATTGCATACATATTGTATAAAAAAATAATGGAACATTATCGCGTATCAACTTTTTTGCTCAAATTTATTGAAGACAGTTTTGCGACGATATTCAATTGAAAAGAAATAAATCTGACACAAACTCGGCCATTTAAACCTAATATAAGCCAATTAGGTGGGAATCATGTTCCGGATTATACATCCGGAACATCCGGGGAAAAAAAATCCTACGCGAAGGTTGTTCGCATTGCTACAAACGCAAGATAACGAAGGAATCTCGTTACTGGTGTTCGATTTGCAAAGTCCCATTGTGTATAGTACCTTGTTTTGCTGAATATCACTCCACAGCAGGAATTTAAATTCTTACTTTTATATGTATAATATTTAATTTATTGCATTTTTAGTTAATATATATGTAATATATGCTTATGTTAACCAAATAAGTAAATATAAGTAATAAAATTTTCAATTTTATAAAATAAATCCATCTTTTTCATCCAATATCTTACCAGCGCAACTTACTCTGTGATTGACGAATATACTCGCCATGACTTAATTCTGGCGACACAAAATGGTGCGCACTCTTAAATGAGAGCACCGCAGTTAATTGGTTAATTGAGATGCAATGTATGCTGGTCCTTGGATTACTATCCTTCGTATCCAACACATTTTCTTCCTTAATGACCAACCGAGTCGATCGTGGCCTGACCTCACTTGTCCTGCACTTCTTAATGACCCGTAGTCACACAAATTTTGATGCAGACATGCGAACAAACTGTGGTGTGGTTGATGTTGGTCGGGAAAGCATTCTCGATAAATGAGTGCAGCGGCTCGTCCGTTACCCACAGCTATTCCATACACTAAGTGCATGTCTGAAAGCTCTCTGTTCATATAGCATTCCATGCTCTTCGTATGGTGTCTACCGCTCGAATGAGGCCATCCTCACTTTCTTCTAGCACTCTCCTGTAGAGCAGCCCCCTGGCACCATACAGTGACGTTTCTGGGCATGGGTTCCTATGCAATTCTTAATCCTTGTGATGTGCCCTACCATCCCTAGAAGTTTGTCGCAACATTTACCGTACACCCTGTTTATATATATATCTATATATACTCACATGTGACAGGAAATGCTAATTAAATTACTGTTGAATTTGAAGACAGAAATCAGCTGTCAAGCTGTGAATGTGCACATACCTGAAGTGCCACATAAATACATTTGGGCGACAGAGCGCATTGCCTTGTGAATACTTTTTGAGGGTGTAAGTAATCAGAAAGCTGTATATCATGTTTTGAAAATTTTTTACCATAGTGGAAAGGAGCCAATTATCAAATTGTTTCCTTTCTGGAAATATCAGTTTGGTACATATATGTTTGTAAAGAAAATTCATTGGTTCGTGTCATCCTTAATGTAAAATATCCCATTATTTCTTTGAATGCAGAATATTGATATATGTATTACTTAAGAGTTGTAGCTTTTCAGCATAGTGATGGAACTTGTTAAAGGAGATTACCCACATTTAAATTATTGTGAAAGTACTTTTCCTCAAAATTTTCACTTACAAATATGGGATTTGAAATAGTTCTCATTCATGAATTATCTGTTATTTCCAGAAAAACATAAATGCAGTCAAAAGTCGTTAATCCGGACACCCATAATCCAGAATGATCTATAATCCGGACCTCAAAGCTACAAACTTTCTGCGCATGCGTCAACGCATAATGCGTTCGCGCATGCGCATAGGCGTTTACGCATGCCCCCGTAATACTTTTACGCATGCGCATAATATGTACGTTTACTCATGGACGTTTGATGTGTAACGGACGGTATAAGCTAAGCTAAAATTATCTATTTCAGTTAATGTTGCAGATTGCGTTGTTCCTTAATCTTTGAATTGGACCAGCTTATTATTTTTTACAGACTGTTAGAGCAATTTTATAAAAGTAAGCTTGAACTTTCGATTATGTCAAATAGAATTTCCGATGCTGGAGCTGCCAAAGGATCTACAAAGCGAAAGTATGTTTCGATGTCCATCAAACAAAAAATGGAATTGCTGCGAAAAATGGATAAAGGCATATCCTTTATTTTTCTAACCATTCCAAAATCTGTTTATGAATTTCGTGCTGCTTTGTGGAGGGGGGGAACGTCGGGGCGCGCAATGAACTGGAAGTTGATCTGTCATCACTATCCTTATCTTCAGGGCAGATGTTTTTATTTTATTCAGCTTATAATTCCTTACTAAATGTAGCGTTTCATCTTGATGTACTTCGATATGATTTAAATCAATTTCCTCGTCATTATAAATATCACAAATACACATAAAAATAGTTTTCTGGTTGCAATTTTAAAAATTTCGACTACGCATAATGTATGCTTTACGCATGCGCTGCATTGAAAGAAATGTTTAATAAAGTAAACAAATAAATATTAAGCTTTTTTTTTTTTGTAAATTTTGATACCCTTTAGATCATAATTGTTCTTTATTTCATAAATTACGGTTTCATATTTTTAATTTATAAATTTCTGCATGCCATCTTACCAGATTTAAACTGATGATCTATAATCCGGAAAAATCGATAATCCAGAATCTCCGAAGTCCCAACGAGTCCGGATTAAAGACTTTTGACTGTGCAGTACAAGTCGTAATCCGGACTCGTTGGACTTCGGCAATCCGGATTGGGGTTTTTTTCCGATATAGATCATCAATTTAATCTGGTAAGATGCATGTAGAAATTATACAATTAAAACTATGAAACCGTAATTTATGAAATAAGAGCAATTATGATCTAAAGGGTATCAAAATTTACAAAAAAAAAAAAAAAAAAAAGCTTTATATTATTTGTTTACTTTATTAAACATTTCTTTCAATGTAAGTTTTTAAGTTGCTTTTTTTTTTTTTTTTTTTTTTTTTTGCTAATACTTTCTCTTTAATTCTATAAACAGACATAATTTCTTGTTCAGTTACAAAGTTCCACTGTTGAAGTCCTGTAATTGCTGTGTCGAGAATACCAATTAACTTGTCAATCGAAATTTTTTCATTTTCAATCACCTCTCTATCACTTTCTTCACTATCAAAAGTGTTATTTTCTGGATCTAGAACCATACTACAGATTTCGCCGTCCGTAAATTTATTGATGATCAGGGCATTGTCGTCGCAATGAAAAACTTCTGTTATATCATCTTCATTTATTACCGCTTCTCCACATTTCTTTACAAAATCCAATAACTGGAAAATTTAACCTTTAGTTTGTGATGTCCAAAAACCTTCAAATTAGTGGCTTCATCTTCATCGTACTCACCGTGAAATATGGTAGCTGGCCATAAATTATGCCAAGCATTTTTTAACGTATCTGGAGATACATGCTCCCACAATCTTGCGATTCTCCACACAGCAGATTTTATGCTAAAAAATTTCAAAAACTCTTGAATAGTCTTTTTGTTTGATGGACATCAAAACACGCTTTCGCTTTGTAGATCCTTTGGCAGCTCCAGAATTGGAAACTCTTTTTGACATAATCGAAAGTTCACACTTAATTTTTATAAAATTGCTCTAACAGTCTGCAAAAAATAATAAGCCGGATCCAATTAGAAGATTAAGGAACAGCGCAATCTACAACATTAACTGAAATGCCTTAGAATCAGTAAAGATAATTTTAGCCTAGCTTATACTGTCTGTTATACATTACGCGCATGCATAAAGCATTCAAAAAAAAAAGTTTGTGCCTTTGAAGTCCGGATTATAGATCATTCCGGATAATGGACGTCCGGATTACGGACTTTGTACTGTAGTATCTGACACTGCAAAAAATATTCGTTCCTTGTGGTCATACATTTGTGTGAAAAAAAAAAAAATCTAATTGCCATTAGTGGCTAACTTCATCCCAAAATGAGTTTTGAAACATGTTGATTTCATTATGTGAATGTTTTTTATCCATAAGAAGGCACAAGAGTTAATTCTATGCACTTAAATAAATTTTATAAAAATTTGCACTAAAATAAATGTTATCAAAGTCCGGCCTTTCAATTGTGGAATAACTCTTAGTCCTTTTAACAAATCAACATTCATGTAAATTATCGTGCATCATTAAAATTTGTGCATGTACTCAATATTTCTTTGCCTGTTTGGCTTTGCTTGTCTATATCAATAAAACTACTGAAAACTGTCAGTTTTATCTTTAGTTTCATTCCAAATGAAACAGATTGGTAAATTAGGCCTCTCTACACAGCTTACATATGTAAAAATTAATTTACTTTTATGACTTCTTTAAGAAAAATATCCCTTTTGAACGTTTTAGCCCTCAAGCGCTTTACAGAAATTAAGTTAATTACAAAATGATATTAATAGTTCAGTTTTGTAAGGAACTATTTATAGTTTGATTTGTATTATTGTCTTTTCTGTATTTATAATATATGTGGTACATTGATATGTGAAAAATAACACAAATGTATCCCATTTATGTATTACTGTAATCATTTTGCCAATAACTTTTTCAGGAAGGCAGGAAAAAGTTTGAGAAGGAAACTGCTAGATTTTGCCAGTCTCTTGAGCGACATTTAAATCTTTCAACAAAAAAAAATGAGAATCAGCTTCAAGAGGTATGAGCTATGTATAGATATAATGATTTCAAGTTTTCCAAAATTGGCAAAAAGAAAACGTATTTGTATTTTGTCTCAGAATATACTGAACTTCAATTCATAAATTAACTGATGTATTGAATACCTATGTATACTTCCTGTAGTATATTGAATTTATAATTTTATGAAGGAGATACTATGCGGTATTATTAGAATTTCCTACTAAAATATGTATTTGTGACATGTGAGGAATGATCAATCAGTTGTAATTATAGCAACTTCATTCAAATTATGAATTAGTTATATTAGTGTCATCTAACTGCTGTGCAAATAAGAGTGTTTCAGATGTGTATTCATTCCATGAACTTCACAATACTACTTTTACTAGTGTGGTTGCTGTATATCAACTAATAATGTTGGCACATTTCTTTAACTATAAGACCGAAAATATTACAGCATTCATCATTTTCATTATTAAATAAAAATATCAGGAGTTGAGAATTGTAGTATGAAACATTTTATATTACTCAACATGTAATCAGTTAATAAATAAGACCAGCAAACATAACAAAACAATTAAGTTTATTACATATTCAGCCCCAAAGAACATGAAAAAAATGCAGTTCCATCTCATAATCAATCAAATAAGAAGCTACGAATTTTACATACTGCAACTTGCCAGTATATGGTCTTGTGGGTATGAGTCCTGCTGATAATATTAAATGCAAACCATACATTGAAGCAAATCATTTCTTCTGTTGGCGAGATTTTAACTGAAGCCTGCTATAAATTTTTAAACACTTCTTGCCAGAGGGCAACTGCACCAAATACAACCTCAAAGTTTCTTCTAGTTCTCGGGAAGAGTTTAAAATATATCTGCAGACTGGAATTGCAATGGTAAAAAAAAGTTTCAGAATAATAATGTTGTTTTAGAAGATTGATATCTTTTAAGTAATTAATAATTTTTGTTACAATATAGTATTGAAAAGTTATTCTTAAGCTCATAAATAACTTTTTTGTGATGTAGCAACCGCTACATATGCACTGTGTCTGCTCTTGGAGAAGTGGCAAGATGGCAGGCTTTAGCTTTGCAATCCTGTCCATTTACATTTGCCATTCTAGAGAAGTGAGTCTTACACATTTGCCAGGATGTTTTTCCATGATATGTGGATAGCTTTAGAGAGGGTTGGAATGGTATATGTATATGAATTTTAAGTCCTCAGAATTGTGACCAGTTATCATTATGGATTTCTTTAAACTGTCAACTTCTTTGGTGACAGCAGCAGAAAATTACATCAATATTTTGTCAAACTGTAGAAACTTTTTCTTCGATTTGTTGTTGGACAGCAAAAACTCTTTCTTTGATTTGTTGTTCGAGAGAAGGAACTCTTTCTTGAATTTCTGCAATGTTACCTTCAATCATGACAATTCTGTCTTCATAGCCTCAAATTTGTATTCTGTCATCGCAGTAATTTCTGTTTTCATTGCCTCTTGATCTGCTTTGATGTTGCCTCTGCTCTTGATCAGCGACATTCTTTAAAGGAATTCCTGGCCTGTTACATGTTCTTCCATTGCTCTCATCATCAACATTCAAGCCTACTTCTGATACCGAAAATTGTTGCATGTGTATAGGTTTGTAATAGATTAAATGTGCACAGAACTGATGATAGCTTGATAAAATTTATTTTACCTAAACAAGCACTTTACAGTTTTGGAACTTTACACAAAGTATTTGTACAGCTCTTTTCAGTATCACAGAGGTCAATGAATAGTTACGTTTCAAACTACCAAGATTGTTAATCATAATGCATATAAACAGTGAAGCTCACATGGCGATATCTCAATACTGCATAGTTGATTCTGAACGGGGAGAACTGAAAGCTGATGCTCTCTCTCCGGTCTTATATAGTTTTCCCTCAACTGCCAAGAAATCTCGAGTATCTTCCATTGCTGGATATTATTGGAAAACTTATACGGTTAAAGTTACATACAAGGGTCGGATACGGTTACAGTTACTTATAGAGATCAATTTCAGTTATTCAATCGCAATATCAATTACAGAGTTATGCAGGGACTGGACCCAAATGGTTACTAAGTTTGGTGATTTCTAAATTAGTTGTCAAGACCATTGCCAGCATGGCAATATCTTGCCAACTCAGTGAGATAGCCATTTACATCAATGTTAAATTGACTTGCTTCTGTATTATTTTTCTGGCAGAGCTTCATCTCTTTCAAGCATTTCATGTTACATATAAAAAAATTTTGCATTTCAGGGCATGTATAATTTCCCTAAAATAACTTACATATATACAAAATTCGTAATAATAACTAATCAATTAACTACTGTTGATCAAAGTTGTCAGCATCCACTCATGTGTGCAGGTTCAATTATTAATTTGGCTTCAAAATTTTAAAAAAAACTTCATTACCTTTTCTTATTTGCAAGGACCTAACTTGTGTTGATATCTGACTTGACAACATTAACTTCTCCATGGAAACACAATTTAATACACATCACATAAAACATTCAAAAAGGAAAAACAAATCACATAAAACATTCAAAAAGGAAAAACAAACTGGTATTTTTAAGTGTTACATCCTTTATTTCTTTTTCAGGGCATAACTCTGCATTTTTCTTACATGCCCGTACCGGAATGAATCTGAACCATAACTCACTGTAGCTAGTAAGTAAAAAAGAAACAAGATTTAAATTTTCTCTCGCGAGGGATATGCCTGGTGCCGTCTAGTGAGGGAAAGTAATAGCTTAAAATGAATGCATAATATATTCCCACCATTAATATATGGTGGAAGCCTGAAATTAAAATACCAATATAAATTGACATCATTATTCAAAAATAAACAGCAACAACGATAATAATAAAATGGAAAACTGATATCTTAAAATTTCAAACATTAAAAAAAACTAAAACTTCTAAAATTGAGTTTTAATAATGTTCATACAGTTCTTTAAAAGACAGTCTCATATTAACTAATTTAGAACATGATGTTTTGATGGCGACAAATTTGGATATTTGAAAGAAAATTCATGATCACATTCTGACAACTTTGTTTTCACTTGTATTTTGTTATTTTATTCTTTCACAACAGTGAGTTATTTGACAGTATCTGGGACACCACCAAAACTTTCTGAATTCTTGACCAAAGAAACATCTCTCTCTGTCTCTTTCTTTTCTTTGACAGAAAGTTCAAATGGAAAAACATGCTTTAATTCCTACATGTTGATATGAATCTTTTCATCCAACAAATAATCTTTACAAACTTGCAAAATTTCAAAATTCTTTGATAATTCATGACTTGATCTACTTTTGTACAGGTGAATAATGTTGCTACAATTTTCATTTTTTCTGACATAACTAAATCTTTGTTAGGAATTTTATCCAACTGGGGTCAATTATTTTCTTCGTCCTGTAACCATTTTGGTCCTTTTGGCCATCCTGTCTTGATAAGCTGTTTAGGACTATAACCACAAGATGGCAGGCCCACCAGATTTAGACTATCTGGGACGAGATACCATTGGTGTGACTCTGCATATTTCTCTGATTCTGTTATCCACAAAAATAACCCAATGGTCATTTCTTTGTATCCATGTTATAATTGGTGAAGAGTCAATAATAAACTGATACTGTAGGGGCATCCAGAGCCTCAAAATTGCAGTTATGTCATTTTTGGAACAATAAATCATTTTTCTCCTAGAAGCTGTACTGAAATTCTGTTATTTTCATGGCATAGGAAAACTACTGCTGTGTGTGCTTTTTGGCTCACGTTGCAAAAAACATGCATGGACCATTTTTCTTTACTTCCGTAACCTATACATCTGTTTATCTTTAAGTTAGACAATTGTTTCAATTCACTGTACCATTTCCAAAAGTCCTTTTGCATTTTCTCTTGAAGTAAAAAATCCCATTCTGACTTAGCTCACTAGGCCCCTAAATCATTAGCTTGGCTGGCAACAGTGCTGAGACGAGAAAACCAATGAGATCATAAATACCTTGAGTTATAGGTAAGATCTGCTATTTAGTAAGATTTTCTATTTCAGCATCATATTTATTGCAAATCTTTAAACATTCCTCCCTTCTATATCATCTAATCTTAAAAACCGAAAGTGGAGTTCTAAGATCTCCTTTAAACAACTTCTGTTCTCAAATAACAATTTTTCTATTTTTTCTTTCATGAATACCAAATTGCCATAATCTCAAATCCATTTTAGCTTCAGCCATAATTTGTGTTGACTTTGAGATAAATTCTTCTAATTTAGATGCACTATCTATGTTGTCAAGTATTACACAGTTATCAATATAGGACCTCAGGAGTTTGTCGGTAATCATTTTGAGTTATTGATACTTGTTCAAATGGTACCATATGACCAAGCTGAGTAAAAATGGGCTACTAGTAGTTCCAATAACCACTCTGTTATACTGATAGATTTTAATTTTATCTGCCGTCTCCTACCATAAAAAGCTCAAAAATCACCAATCTTCTCCGTTAACTTCAGTTTGGAGGAAGGCTCTTCTAATGTTGCATACAACAGCAATAGCCTTTTCTTAAAATCTCAATAATATGCTGGAATTTCTTCTATCAGTTTAGGCCCTTTGACAAGAGTATTTAAGAATGATGTTCCAACTTTCCACAAGGCATCAAAAACTAGTCTGATAGAAATAGTGAAATTCTCTTACTTAATAATTGGATGGTGACACAAGTAGTGTCCTACTTCTAATTACTTTTTTTTAGACTTCCTGTATGTCATTCTTCTTCTGCCATTCTGTAAAGATTAGGTCATAATTTCCAAACTTTTTTAGCTTCGTTAGTCTGTTGGTAGTGCAACCTTCTTTCTGCAACATTTCTATTTGAGAGAGTATTTGAGTTAATACAAGTCCATAGAAGACAAACACAGTAACGCCCATCTTCAGTTCTAATAAGTTCTCTAAGGAACATATCATAGGCTAGCTCTTCTTCCTTTCTTCCTAGACAGTGATCTAGTTTGAGTGGGATCATTAATTCCT